AAGTAATGTCCTAAGTATGTAACGTTAGTATAAAGGTCAAAGAATAAAAATAAAAAATATGACCAACTTGAAGGGGTTAAATAGGATCAAAGAATGATAATTGTGCCTCCAATTTTGAGAGAGAAAACTTTTGTCGGATTACTGTCCTGCCACTGGATCTTATCTTATTCATTGATTAAAAAAAGACACAATATATAAAATCTTTCACAATTTATGAGACAACAATACATTTATTTTTTATATTGCCGTCATTAATTTCTGGGTACACCTATTTATATATAGATTAAATCATTTTTGAAGAAACTTATTCATATGTTTGATTACATTTTTGAAGAAATTAGTGAGACTGGAGCATTCTATCAACTCGATGACTATAAAAGCTGGCCTGGAATATCAAGATTGATAATGAATGTGATGTTGAGATTCTAACCAAAATAAAAGCTTTTGAATTAAATTAGGAATACTCTAAGTTTACTTGATGGACTTTTTTTTTTTTTTAAAGTTGATAGATTTATTGAGTTGATAATGGGAATGTGATGGATTTTTTAAGTTGATAGATATATTTTATTATTTCTAATATTTATTTAAAATATATTATGTTATCAATTGATCCACTAATTAGACTCATACCTACTGACTGCATGCATCTTATGGGGCCCTACCAACATAAGGTAGGTAACTAGGAGGGGAGCGTCGTTCTTTTGGTCGTTGAACCTGTGCTTTGCTAGTCTTGAGCCGCCACCACTGCAAGTCGGCCGCGTGTGCAACGCCAGGTCTGTCGTCCTCCTTCCACCGCCTCTTCGTTTCGTTCATTTGAAAGTGAAGCCATCGAATTCCGTGCTCCCTTATCCCCTCCCTGGGTCCGGTGTCGATTCACTCCACAGAAAAGAGGAGGCAAAAGGTCGGCTTCCTGGTCTCTCTTTCTGCCTTCCATCATTAGCTCATCAAGTCCCATCTCGATCGATGATACACGACTGTGATGTAGCTTACTGAGAGTAGAACAGAAGAGCAAGGGCTCATGTAAACGTTGAAGACTCAACACAAGGATAACCGGAATGTAAGATCTCTTCTACTAGATTAACAAGTATACAGAGTGGTAATGGAAGATGCGCTTAAAGCAAGTCTTCCAATTGTAGACTAGATTCTCCAAAGATAGAGGAGTAAGATTGATCCCCAGATTTTTTTTTGTCTCTCGCTACTGTAGCACCTGCAGACGTAAGGCTAGAAAAATCCTTGGTCGAGCAAGGTGAAGGGGAAGGCTACTGTTGATGATGCTGTCCGCGAACTCGTCCCGCTCAGTCCAAACTCAGGTTGGGAACTTGTTTGACGCGCAGAAAGATCAAAACCACCGACCTCAAGTGGTTTTGGTTCCGTACGTGAAGGCTTAAGCATTGCTGAAACCTCATCGAAAGGCAGCAAAGTTGTTGCAGGGAAAGCGAATAGCCGTCTCTTCTTCTCCGTAGATAGCTGCTGCTGCTGTTTGGAGCGAACGAGTCTTTGCAGGAGAAGCTTGGGGTCCTCGGCCACTTTGACGAGGAAGGACATAAGTTGACGCGGCCTCCGTTCGGTGGCCTGCACTCGCTTGCTCATGGCCTTCACCTCCTCCTCGAGACTTCTCTGTTGCTGCCGCAACTTCTCGAGCTCCTGCAGTAGCAGCCGCCCTTCCTCCCCATCCACGCCTCCCCTGCCCCTGCTACTGCTTCCATGCAGGACACCTTGGGTCTTCCTCCGCCGCCTGGTGATAGAAGGGAGGACTTTTTTTCGTTGGAAGAAAATTTAGGACAATGCTCAATCGATTATTTTACCTACTCCCAAGGAAAAGAAAACGACATCATGCAATCTCCCCCATTTAGCACGGCCTCTCGTGAGCGTGACATGCAGCCATAAAGAACGAGGAACCTCTACCGTCCCCTTGTCATACACGAGAAACCATCGCAAAGCACAAAGCATGGCACTTCCTCACATGATTGGAGAACGATTGCTGGAGATTCATTCACCGATGGAAAGCCATTTGGCCTATGAATATGCTATCAACTTCCACGCTTTGTGGACAAAAATTATGTTGTCATCAACTTGTCTACTTGGCAAAAAAAATTTTGCCAAGGTTTTGGTAGACTTTGACAGCTAATCTACTTGGCAAAGATTTTGATAATTAATTTATTTTAAGATATTGAATTTAAATCTCATCTTTATTATTTATTCTTTGAAAAAAAGAATGATAGACGAATGTAAATAGGGTAGCCAATGATTACTTCTATTAATCTCATGCAAGACATCAAACAATTTACACTCAATATTCCTATTATAGTTCCAAAGAAAACAGGAGGATTCTCCTCGATTATGATCTCTGCATCCCATTCCACTACCAATCTTGATATTCCAAGTTGATAGCATATTTCATCATAATTTTTGTTGTCAACATAATGTACAAACTGGCACTATAATAAAATTTGAACTTTTTCTAAAAAAAAAGAGATTAATTGTGATTAGTATTTTGTTGATTAGAAAATTAATGTTAAAGGGGCTTGGATTACATAAGTAAAGTCACATATAGTTACAATAATAAAAAAATTAACTTAGTGTTAGTTTGATTATAGAATAAGTAATATTAAAATAAATATTCACCGGTGTTAAGGAGAGAGAGAAAAGAAAAATAAAAATCCAAAAGAGAAATTAAAAATCAAAAACGAAAAAAAAATTACTAAAGATCAACAACCAAGAACATGCTTAAAATCCTACACAAGATTAGCATAGTTTAGTAACTTCCACCTACATCTATAGTGAAAAATTAAATTTCTAAAAATTAAATTTCTCTCTATATAAGATCAATTATAAGGTTTGTGTTGTAGTCATCTCTTCAATGGAGCTGGCCAAGAAAGTCCTCACGACATACATCCTCGAGTGCTATGGTCATTCCAAATTTAGTTTGATATCGTACC